CAGTGAATCTCCAGACCGCAGCTCTGAAGCTGGGAGGGGAGTAGAGAAAGTTCAAAGAGTGAGGCAGAGTGCAGCCAAGGCCTGGGCTGAGAGCCAGGTAGGCTGGAAGGAGAGAGAGAGCAGCCGCCTGTTACCAGAAGACTTGGATGCTGATGATGTGACAAAACCACATCTGGACAACTGGTTCTACCATCGGCTCGTTGGTCTAGGGGTATGATTCTCGCTTAGGGTGCGAGAGGTCCCGGGTTCAAATCCCGGACGAGCCCTATTTTACTTTGCTTTTATTGACATTTTGGGTGCAAAGCAGGCTTAGCTCCTTGATCCGTAAAATGAAAAGGTTGGTCTACGTGGCCTCTGAGGGGCCCTTCCAGCACTAGTTCTACGATACTGAGGATTTTAGGGGCACAGATTGCCACTGAATTTCCCCATACATATCTTGTGCTTTCACCATAACTAAATGCCTCGACAGGCACCGGATAAGATTTGAGATTAAACCGGGGAACTCTGGGCAAAACATTTTCCCTTATGAGTCAGTTTCCTTAACTGTAAAACAGCATCAGGCTAGATGATCCTTGAGGTCTCTTGTAGCGCCAACGTTCTCTGAGGGTGAGGAGGGTCAGGGATGTGCTTCCCTGGATTGGTTTCCTTCCCAGTGATTCACATAAACTCTTTTTGAAAGAGACTGACAGCAGTTAAATGAGCCAAGAGAGTATTCTAAGAGGACAAACCACAGGCAGAAGCTAAAGTACTGGTGTGAGAAAAGGTCACTTGTGGGAGTAAAACCCAAGAGGCTGCAGGGAGCAACTGAGGGGCAGGGGTGAGAGGCCAAGACAGTCAGAAGAATGATTTTCATGAATCTAAGGAAGGCTGAGCTGCTCAGATGGGATAAGGAAGGAGGATGAGCCCCTCAATATGGGGATGGAGTTTATTAGAACCAAATCTGAGCTGATTACTGAGATGACAGGTTTAGGTCATCCCCTGCGGGCTGCCCACAGAGAGGCAGTGTGGTGTGGTGGATAGCACATTCCACTAGCTGTCAGAAGAGTTGGGTTCATTTAATCCCAGCTTTGCCTCCAAAATAGCTGTAAGACTGAACAAATTGCCCAGTCGGCCCCCCAGCCTTAGTTTCCTGACTTGTAAAATAAGGGGGTAGAGGAAGGCTGGACTAGATGACCCAGATCTAAAAGGCTCTGTCTTCTAAGAGAATTGGATTTCAGTACCAGTTTAATAATCAACCCAGCCCCTCAAAGATGTATCACATGCAATGAGCTAGAAAGTAGATATTCCTGAATCTTGGCTCATGCCAGCAGAGCCCTTTGGAGCTAATCTGATTGACCTTGCCATTCTATAATGGACCAGGCTCAAACCCCATCACTAAGGATATCTGGTTCTGGGGATCCCTAGGAATTGAAAAAGCTCAAGGTGAATCAGGTGACCTGGACCCTAGGCAAAGGATACTGAATAAACCCAAGTTAAACTTAGAGTCAAACTAAGATCAGTCTTGACCAAGGTAAACATCATATAGCCAAGTTAGCAAGCTGGGTATTAGAATTATCGGGTCCAATTATGTGACTCTCTGTGAGACAGGTTTCTCTAGAAATAAAGTATGATATTTGAATGTTTGAAATTAATCCAGGGGCTGCTAGGTGGCACAGTGGCACTGACCACCCGCCCTGGAGTCAGGAGGACCTGAGTTCAAATCCAAAGTCAGACACAACACTAGCTGTGTGACTCTGGGCAAGTCACTTAACCCCAGTTGCCTCACCAAAATAATAATAATAATAATAATAATAATAATAATAATAAAATCCAGTAGAGGTTTTGGGGGTTGGAATCAGGAGTGTATGTGTGTTAGTCTGCGAAATCTCTTTTTTTTTTTTTAAAGCAGGCCTATTATCTCTAGTCCAACAAACTGTCTATGTTGCAGCCATAGACAGAGGCAGCCAGGTGGTGCAGTGAAGTGCTTGCTCCCTTTCCCTTCTCCCATAGCCCCTCATTGTATCTTCCTCCTATACCCTGCCCTTTTTCTATAACCCTAACTGATCAGCACCTTCCTGCCTGAGACCTCAGGGTGGGACACTAATGAGACTCACCTAAATAGAGCTGTCCCTATAAAATTCCCGCACTATCCTGACTGGGGAGTTCCCTGAGCAGCATGAAGATGGACACAAGTCCAAATGAGGGCTTGATGGAACGTTGGACCAAATTCTAAGAACAGCCTCTTAGAAAACCATCCTGGCTTCCCTGCTGTGGCCATGGCTAAGACTCCCTTGCAATACTTTGGCTGTATCATTTCCTTGCCCTTCCCAGTTTCACTTTTGGGGTGTCTTTCCCAGTTGATGTCCGGGTTGGTGGGCTTCTCTAGCTTGAAGGTGTCAGTCCTGGCACTGGCTGGGGGGAGGTTGTAGGCCGCCCTAGTGCCCTTCCCTTGTTGCCTCTGCCCTCCCCAGGTCTTTCTTGAGCATCAAAAGTTGAGTTCCATAGCCAAAAAAAAAAGGCCTTTCAGGCTTTCAGCATGGACTGGCTTTTCCAATTCTTTCAACAAAGCCTCTTTAACCCTAGCATCAAACAATAACTGTGCGTATTTAGCAGAGATTGTGTGTTCAAGTGCATGAAATGTATAAACCTGAAGGACTAGGATTGTTTATATGTACACGAAGCCATATGAAGCTGTGTCTCTATAGCATACATTGCATCAGAGCCATATTTCTGAACCTTGAGTAGCAGCAGGCTGGGAGTGGGTAGGAGAAGAGGTAGCCGGGAAGAAGGTCCTGGGAAGTGTGGCCCCAGCAGAAGGAAACGGTCCAGGGTACACTCCCAGGTTTCTAAGCTGCTGAAGAGGGACGAAGAGCCCCTGAGATGGGGCAAGCAGAGGGAGAAGCTTTGTGGAATCAGGCCATCAAAGCATAGGAAGAGTTTCTAGTAATGCCCGCACTCTCTAGATTATCCGCCCAAAGCCTAACTCCAGGCATCTCCCCCTAGCCATGGCTCTGGACTCCATACACACATGCAAGTGTGGTATTCACGAATACCTGGGAACCTGGAAGAGCCCACAGGAAATTCCTTTTCCTATGTGTCTCTGTGAGTAAAGATACAAAAGATTCTGAGTACATCATTATGTTCACGAGTCAGTTTCTGTATCGCCACCATTTTCTGGTTGTGTTAATGATTCCTTCCATAAGTGAACCTAGCAGTAGAGTCCTGGAGGTAATCAACATTTGGAACATTATTGATACCCTGTAAATTGAGAAGCACTGTGGCAGAGTAAAGAGTACTCTGGGTTTGGAGTTGGAAGGCTTGGCCTTCACCTGGAGTCTGCCATTTAACTAGATGGGTGACCCTTCTTGACCCATTTGGGCCTCATTATTTGTAAAAATAGTAATGTCATTTACCCTGCCTACTTGACAAGGTTGTTCAGAGAATGAAATAATGTATCTGAAAACATTGAGCAACACAAGTATGACATGTATACATGCATGTGTGCGGTACAGTGAAAAAGCAGTAGAGGAGAGTGGAAGGAGAACTGACCACAAAGCTGGGACCACGTGGACTCCACACTGACTGTGGGATCCTGAATAAATCGTGTAATATCTGGGTCCCAGGCACTCTCCAAGACTAAGGGGCAGGTTGGTTGACATTGGTAGACAGAGATCCCTATTAATGAAACCACAGATCTAAGCCAAAACAAACAAAAAACATCCCAACACTATATGTATACAATTCTTATAATATACAATGACAATTATATAGCTACCATATCTACATAAAGCTGACCTGGCTGAGGGCCAAGTACCTCAAAGGTGCCTTCCTCAGCTCTATAACCAGCCTGGACTCCACTGATCCCTGCTTTGGCCATTAGAAAAGATTAAGACCTGGCCATCTGCCCTGTGGCTGAGTGCATATCCACCAGCTCCTGCCAGCTTGCTACCTCTTTCTCTGGAATTGATAAGCAAATCAACATTACCTTTACTATACTGGCATGCCAATATACTCCTGATGTGTCCATTCAGAATACCTGTGACTCTGACTTGCAGCCTGCTGAGGCCAAAGCTCCTACTACCACTTCCTGTCCCTCATACCAATGCTGTCCCTGCATTGTTCTGAGGCCACTCTTTCTATTCTTCCACTGTGGTCTCTGAAACCTGTTCAAATGCTAATAAAACTGCAAGGCAGACTCAGACTTATGTCCTCACCTCCAGAAATTACTTTGATTATATTTCATATCTGTTGTTTAGTCGTTTCAGTTATGCCTGACTCTGTGTACCCATTTGGCCTTTTCTTGGCAAAGATACTGGAATGGTTTGCCATTTCCTTCTCCAGCTTATTTTACAGATGAGCAAACTGAGGCAAACAGGGTTAAGTGACTTGCCCAGGGTCGCACACCTAGTGTCTGAGGCCAGATTTCAATTCAGGAAAATGAGTCTTCCTGACTCCAGACCCAGCACTCTATCCACTGTGCCACCTAGTTGTCCTATATTTCATATTTACTTCCAAATAGATATTGTTTCCTTCGAGTAGACCATAAGGTCCCTGAGCGCAGGGACTGCTTCCTTTGGTCTATATTCCCAGCACTTAACAAAGTTGCTGTTATGAGGAAAGGTACTTAATTGCTTGTGGAATTCAATTGTATCAGGGAAAGAACAACGTAGCAATTTAGGGTTTCTAAATATGGAAACTAAATCCCATTTAATAAAGGGCAGTGTAGGGCCCATGGATATAACAAAGTCTAATGACCCACGACTGACTACAGAATTGATGGGAGGCAGGGAAGAGGGGAATCCAGAAAAGAGAGAGGACCACAAATACCGGCAGTCAGCCCCCGTGTGACTTCCATGCGTCTCTTTCCTCCAGCCTCCGCATCACCTTTGGTTCCCCATTCGGTCTGGCTCAAGAGCACTACTGAGAGCTGTACTGGAAAGATCTTCCCTCTCCAGCCCTGGATGCATCTCAGGGGCAGGACAAGCCTAGAGCTGTAAGCTGGCTGGCCAAGGGTCTTAGGACTTTGGAGAAATGTGTTCTGCTTAAGATAATAAAGGGGAGATGTTTCCATGGTGGGAAATATCAAACTAGAGGGGTGCTCCGACTTACCTAGGCAGCAAAGCCAGTGAGATCTGCCAGTGCTCTGCCTCCCAGGCCCCGGAGTTCCTCTGGCCAAACCCCCTACCCACTTCTCACTGACTTGTGATGGTGGGGGGTGGGAAGTGTTGAACCCACTCCTAAGCAGTTCCCACAGAAGCAGCTACTTGCTGAACCTAGCAGTCTAACCAAGCTCCCAGCTTGCTGACCAGTGAACCTGTACTGTGCTTCCTTCTTAGGGCCGCTGTGGTGGGCAAGGGTTAAAGTGCTCCCACCTGAGCCAAGAATTTGTTCGAGCCCCTTCCTAGGAGCAGGCCAGGCAGGCAGCACAGAGTGAAAGGCCAGTGGGGGGTGGGGGGCTGGGGAGGGCTCTTTGGGACCCTGGGAAAAGACAGAGGCTATAGCTCCCCACCCCGCACCCCACCCCAGTGGTTGCGTCAGGTAGGCTGGGGAGGGGGGAAATTATGGAGAGAAGAGGGGAGCTCGTGGGGTTGGGCTAGGTCCCCGCCTTCTGCACGCCTTCCCAGCAGCTCCTCCTCTTCTCCTCCCGCCCTTGCTCTCCAAGGCTCTGCGGCTTCATCCCTTAGCAGCACGGGCAGCGGCTGCGGCCATGGACACAGAAGCTGGGGATGGACCAGGAGCCGTGAGCTGGAACAGCCATGCAGCAGGTCAGGGCTGCTGTTCACCTGCCTTCTCAAATCCTCTGCTCTCCTTTCCCTTCTCCATTTCTCCTGCCCTCCTCCTCTCCGGCTGTCCTTCCTCTCCTAAGTCTGTCCCCTCCCTTCAATGCTTCCTCTCGGTCCGCAGTTCTGCCTCACTCTCTCCCTCCCCAGGCTGAGATCTCCATCTTCCCATCCTTGTCCTCACCTCTGCCGGAATGTCCAGACCCACTGCTGCATCCTCCCTTAAGAGGCTCTTTTGTCATCCCTGTCCCACCCACCCCTTGGGAAAGCGGCTGCACCTCCCTTACCTCCCCAGCTCTGTCCCCAGGGCTTCTGTAAGTGCACACAGACTCTCAGCCCCCTCGTGCCCTAAGCACAGTGAAGAGTGGATAATGGAGGGGGTGGGGGTAGAAAATTAGGTAGTATGATGATGACATTTAACTCCCAGTTCAAATAACAGAACCCCCTTTTCCCACTGCCCCTTCCCTAACCCCCAAGCTTTTTCTCTTCACTTCCTCTTTCCCATTCGCTCCATCTCCTCTACCTTCTGCTCTCTTTCCTAAATATACATTCTCTGCGCTTATGTATGGAGAGAGAGAGACAGAGACAGAGACAGAAAGACAGAGCAACAGAGCCAGGTTTAGCAGACCTGGTCAGTTTTGACTCTTCAGTCAAAGTCAGCAATAGAACTGGAAATACGAGAGACAAAAAGCAGCAGATGTGGGAACGTAAGCTAAAATTGGAAGGGGAAGGGGAGGGGGTGATTCACAGGGTCAGGGTCAGCAGCAAAGCTGGGTGTGGAGGAAGGACAGAGAGAAGATAGGGGGACCTGTGGTAGGCTGGGGGAGAGATTCAGAGACAGGGTCAGTTGCAGAACTGGGGGTGGGGCAAATAGAAGCAGATGTGGGGACCTGTGTTGGGGAGGGGCGTTCACAGTCAGGGTCAGCAGCAGAGTTGGGGGTGGGGTGGGCAGAAGCGGCAGATGTGGGAACCTGTGTTAGAGTCGGGGTAGGGTTGCCACAGATTCCAAGCTAACAGCAGGGCTGGATGTGAAGCATAGGGCAGACGGAAACAACAGAAGTGAGGACCTACAGTAAGATGAGGGGGTCACAGTCAGGGTCAGAAGTAGACCTGGGGTGGGGGTGAGAACAGATGGAAGCCATAGAGGTGGGGGCCTGTGTTGGCGGGGGAATCAGAGTCAGGATTAGCAGCAGCTCTGGGAGTGGGGCAGCCAGCAGGAGCAGAAATGAGGACTTGTATTAGGATGGAGGGTGGGAATTCAGAGGCAGAGTCAGGTGCAGGGATGGTAGTAGGGGTGGAGTAGGGCAGAAAGCAGCAGCAGAGGTGGAGATCTGGACCAGAATGGGGAGGATGGTAGAGTCAGGGTCAGCAGCAGAGCTGGGGGTGGGGAGGGAAGGTAGAGCAGCTGAGACCAGCAGAGGTGCCATAGCTGGTGGGGTGGGGTAGCATCAGAGCTAGGAATGGGGAGATGCTTGGATTGACATTAGGATTCAAATACCCATGACTTCAGAAGCTTAGGGTGGGTATATTCCCTAGCCTTTTCTATGCCTCTCATACTTCTCTTTCCACAGGATTTCCAGTGACCCCTGCAGGGTCCTGTGAGGGACCTGAGGGCTGTGAGAGGAAGAAAGGCCAATGCTGGGGGTCCCTGGAGCGCTGGGGTCAGACCATGGATGGTGAGTTTTCTTACCCTAGAATGCTTTTCTTTTCTTTCTACCTTCCTACTCTTCAACTCCTTTCTTCTCTCTCTCCCCCTGGGGCTCTCAGCCTTGAGCCCATCATTTCCCTCAGCTTTTCCCAGAACCCTCCTTACCTCAAACTAAGGCCCAATTGTCACCCTAAGGCTTTGGGGATGGGGGTGGGGTGGAAATACTTCAAGACTTCTGTCTGCTTCCTGAACAGATGCAGCTAGGGTCTCTCTTGTGGGGTTGGCTCTGCTAAAAGGAAAACACACCACAACAAAAGATGTTCTGATGAGCTTTTTCATCTGAAGCACTGGTCCTCACTTCATCCCTACAATGTTACCTGCCCCCACCCCCAAAATTGTGGTCTGCCTTTCAAGCAAGGCTCCCCTCTCCCCACAGCTAGACCTTCAAGGTTGAATGGAAGGTATCAGAGTGGAAGGGCCCTCCCTCCACGTGGAAGAGGCACAATCTCAGTCAGAGGACTGCAGTCTGCTGGGGCTACCACTCAACCAGCATTCTGCTGCTCTGCTATCCACACAGCCCTCCCCATACACTGCTTAAGGAACATATTATCACATAGGTAGCAATCCCACATTTGCCTATCTGGAGCCTGAGGGATGCCTCTTTCACCCCAGCTGGTTTCGAAGGCTCCTACACAAGGTCTGAATTTTCCTTGCCCAGTGATCAAGCAGATGCCCTGGGAGTTGATTCTTGACCTGGATGAGGGCTTGGAGTCAATAACCTCTAAATTTCTTTCCAGCTCTCTGATTCTCTATTCACTTGCCCCAAGTTCCAGGAATCAGAATTAGAAGAAGCCAGGTGTCCATGGGCAAGCTTTCCTTCATTGTTCTCAGTCTCATGGCTTGAAGCCCCCCCCCCCAAAAAAAGTCTGTCATTGTGGGAGGACCCACCCAAATGAAACTGGTCAGTCAACTCCAGGACGGGTCAAGGAGAGAGATGAGAATACCTTGAGCCCCAATTCTACAGGCATTGATTTGGGGGGGTATCATGGGGGACCTGAAGACAGCACCAATGCATCATCTCCCCCTGGTCACCTTGGCTGGTGTAACCAGTTGCAAGTTAGAGAGACCTCAGCTAAAAAAAGGTCATCCTGATGCTGTGTTGGGGGGGGGCATGTCTTACAGGGGAAGTGCTGCTCCCAGCTCTGTATGAGGAGGAGGAGGAAGAAGAAGAGGAAGAGGAAGAGGGGGAGAAAGAGGAAGAGAGAGAGAACAAGGAGCAGGACAATGATGTGAAGTCCCTGCAGGAAGACAAGCCTCGGGGGCTGAGCCTCACTGAGACAGAGCTGGAAGAGCTGAGGGCCCAGGTGCTACAATTAGTGGCTGAGCTGGAAGAGACAAGGGAGCTGGCTGGACAGCACGAGGACGATTCCCTTGAGCTACAAGGTGAGTGGAATCTAGGGTCCCAAGCCCTTGCCCCTCCAAGTCCTGACGCCTGGCCTTCTCCACATCTGGGGAAGCTCTTGAAATCTCACTGGGGGAACCTGGCAGCAAGGGATGGAAGGTCTGACAGAAACCTGGAAGCTCTCAGGACCTGGGGCCTCCCTCCGGCCACTCCTGTGCTCTGTTTCAGGACTCCTGGAGGATGAGCGATTGGCCAGCGCCCAGCAGGCAGAGACCTTCACCAAGCAGATCCAGAAACTCCAGGGTAATGCGGGAGAGGGGAATGGTGGGGTGGGCTTCACTTTACCATTTTTCAAGGGATTTTTCTCATGCCATCTCTCTTACCACTTTTTTAGTCATCCAAAATGATCTTTTTACCTCCTCTTTACTATCTTCTCATTTCCTCTGTCTCTTTAGATTTCTTCTTCCACTTTTCAAAACACCACCACAATCCCTACCCCATTCTTAGCTCTTTTCCCCTGGCCCTTCTGTCTTTATTCACTCATCTTCTATTGAAACTTCTCTTTTCACTCTTCTACTTCTTTTCTTCCCTTCCTTTTTGCCTCTAATCTCCTCCTTTTCTCTTGCTCATCCATTCTCCTTCGATGTCCAGGTCAGTACCAGGGGTGGGTGAACTGGTTGGATGCTGGGATGGGTGACTTAGGAGTAGGCGCAGGGTCATTCTAGCTCCCATTTCCCTTCAAGCACTGGGGAATGCTGCATCCATCTTGGCCTGGTCACATTCCTTGTCCCCTGTCTTCTCTTCAGAAGGAATCTGGGATAGGGCAAGTAAGTCAACCAGAATCAATAACACCCACAGGCTACAAAGCCGGCATAATAAGGGCTTGTATTCAAGGAGGGGCTCTTTATAGCTTACCAAGAGCCCAAGAGATGACCTAGAAATCCCTTCCCTTCAGCTATCTCTGAGGAGCAGCAGGGTAGGTGTTCCATATCCCACAGCAACATCAAGGCAGCTTCAGTTGACTCCTTCTAGCTTCCAGTTTCTGGGAGATGTCCTAGAAAACAGCTTCAGAGCAGGCAGTCCCCAGGGAAGCGGTCCAGTGTGGGACAAAAGGAGGAGGAAATGGGGAAAATAAAGAACAGAAAGAACAAAGAGAGAGCAGGAATAGAAAGCAGCCAGCTAGGGCAAAGGGAGGAACAAAGAAAAGTGAAAAGGAAATGATAGAAGGAAGAGAGGTAGGAAAAAGGTAGACAGTGAGGCCACCATGGTATAGTGGCCAGAGACCTAGATTTCAAGTCAGTGGCCCTGGGTTCAAATTTTGACTTGGCTGCTTACTGCCAGTATGACCTTAGACAAGCTGATTAGTTTCCCTTCACTTCACATTACTTATATTTGGGGACGGTACTAGCTGTTCTTGCGACATCAATAACTTTGTATACAGTGCCTTGCACGTCCTAAGCTCCTCAAAAATGTTTATTAAATTGTACCTGTACAGTCCCTTCTAATTTTAAGCCCCATAATCCTATGATCTCAGGCAGGATCCACATCCATGTGGTTTCCATAAGATCTGTGCAGTCGGTTCTCTTGCTCCCAGGCACTGGGGCACAGGGCCAGAACTATGAGTATATTTATAGCTGCTGACTATGGGTGACCCCATAGCATTGCTGGCTTCAGGCAGGGATCTAGTGCCCCTACAGACCCATGCACATGCCACAACTACATGTCCACTGGCCCCTTGGGTCTAAGTATAAAAATATCTCAGGAGTATACACAAACACACACACACAGAGTTTGAAGCTGTAGAGAAAAGAATTGGCCCTGCAGTCAAAAGACCAGGATTTCTGTCTCAGCTCTGACACTTACCAGTTCTATGACCTTGAGCAAGCCCACTCAATTACCTCCAAGGCTCTTAAGTTTCCTTATTTGTAAAATAAGAATGATATCAGCTATGTCAACCTCCAAGGGCTATGAGAGGATCAAATAAGATAATGAGTCTTTGGAGGCAGGAAATCTAGGCCTGAAACCCCTATCTCTGCCAATGTGCCCATGTGCATGGCACACAGTTGGCACTTAATAAATGCTTCTTGACTTGACTGCTACTTATTACCTATAATATAGTCAGGCTATATGCTAGTCACAATGAAAGGATTATAGTGATGCCACTTACTCCCTTGTTTGCCCTTGGGCAAATCATTTAATTTCTCCCGGACCTCAGTTTCCTCATCTGTTAAAAAAAAGGGGAGGGGAAGAGAGTGGGTTAGACTAGATTAGCTCTAAGATGCCTTCCAGCTCTAAGCTCATATAATTCCATGATTCTTCCCAGTTCCATAGTCTTCCTGGCTTAGATAGAGTCTACACACTTTATGCCCTAAACAGACGCGTTGACACTAACCCATGCTCATACACACACACACACACACACACACACACACGCACACACATGCACACACACACGCACAATGTGGGGCGCAAGGCTGCCAGGTCACACTCCATCACCATCTTCCTGCAGGGGGCGGCAGAGCGTTCTTCCCTCTCTTGTCTCTCTCCCTCCTCCCCCTCCCAGCTCTTTCCAGCTCTGCGCCCGTGCACTGCCCGTTTCCGCCCGCAGGGGGCGCGCGCCCCTTGGGGGGTAGGCCGGACCCCTGGCCGGCCGGAAGCGGCTGCCATAGTCCCGCTATGGGCCACGCGCGGGGTGGGTGGGGGGCTTCCCCCCAAGGAGACCACTAGACGGGCCGGTGCGATGGAGTCCCTGACCAGTGAGTGAGAACCGACTCTCCGCCCCGACCCAGACCCAAAGCCCCCACCCGGCGCAAAAACTCCCCGCCTTACCGCCAATCAGCACAGACCATCTTGGAGACCCGCCCCATCCCATCCGGCCCTTTTAAGGCCCCGCCCTACTCCTGCCAACTCCCGGAGAAGCCCCGCCCCTCTCAACTCCCACACAAGTCCGACCCCCAGCGCCCGAGCCCCTCCCCGAGCCCCGCCCCAAGCCCCGGCCACACCCCCCTCCCCCTTGCCAGCTCTGCCTGAGCCAGCGCCAGCGCCCTGGCCCTGGCCGGCTCGCCCCCCACGCGGCCTCCATCTCCAAGGTGGAGAACGTCCTGGCCAGTGTTAGAAGGCCGTAGGAATTACAGACACCGTCCAGGACCTTAGACACCCCCCGAGCCAGCTCCCTTTGACATCCCCGTCCATCCATCCGTCAGTCAATCAACAAGCATTAAAACCGCCACGTGGTCAGAGGGCTGATGTAGTTGCCGGGCATAGAAAGACCGAAAAAAAAAAAAAACCAAAGGAACAGGTCCTACTCTCCTGGAGCTTCCAATCTATAGGAGAGAAGGGAGGGCCTCACAGCATGTCCACCTATCAGTAGATACAAGCTATGTATGAAGTAAGGTGAATGAAGCTCTTCCATTCTCCAGGGGGGAGCCTCGAGGAATCTGGCTAATGTTTGTGATGTGGCCCTGGTATGGGGTAGGGCAAAGGGTACCTGATGGGGAGGGAGTCACAGAGCCCAGGATCCTGGATTGGGAAACCTGGATTTCAAATTGTGTCCTCCCAACTCGTTAGCATGGTGACCTTGGCCTCCTCTGGTCCTCAGTGTCCTCTGTTAATGAGGTTAGACTGCATGAGCGCTAGCCTTGGGGTTGGGAAGACCTGAATTCAAATCCTACCCCATAGAGCAAGTCTCTGTGCCTCCATTTCTAAAATGAGGACTCCGTGGCCTTTAGGGTCCCTTCTGGATCCAAATGTATGTGGCGTGTGGGAAATGACCTTGATTGTCCCTTGTAGCTCCAAGGATTCCAGAGAAATTGTGGGTATAGAAGGGAGGGACAGAGCAAAGCTCTAATACAAGGCCCCAAACAGGGTGGAAGGAGGTAACTGGAATCATTTTGGAAGAGTAAGGACAGAGAAGGGGTCAAGTCTGGGGCTGCTTTTCTGAACCCCAAGGAAGAGAATTTAAGAAGAAATGTCCCGAATATTGTTACGCATTCTAGATGTCACTGTTTAAGAACACTGATAATCTGAAGAGCACCCAGAGCAGGGCAGCCAGGATGGCAAAAAGCCTTGAGTGCATGTCATGTGAGGATAGGCTGAAACAACTGGAAATGTCTTACCTGGAGAGGAAAAGTTTTGGTGAAGGCCCTACGGCCTTCTAACACTGGCCAGGACGTTCTCCACCTTGGAGATGGAGGCCGCGTGGGGGGCGAGCCGGCCAGGGCCAGGGTTTGGTTAGGAGGGAAGGGAACAGAGATAATAGTCCCTACAGCTGTCTGTCATGTAAAAGAGGAATCCGAATGGTTAGACTTGGCCCCAAAGGGAGGAACAAGGAACAATGGGGACACGCTACCAAGAAGCAAATTTGGGCTTGGTATCCAAAAGAACTTTTACTAATTAGAGTTGTCTAAAAGTGGAAGTGGTAGTTTTGGGAGGTGGTGGGGTCCCCCTTGGAGGTCTTCTATCCAGAGTTGGTGGTGGCGTCTCCAAGGGGAGACATGTGTGGGTTGGAGTAGACAGTCACAGGTCTTTTTCAGCTCTGAAATTCTGTGATTGTGTGAAGTGGCTTTTTGCTAACAGAAGTACTTTCTAGGCCCTCTTTTTCAGCTATGCATTGGAGAAACTCCATCAACTCTATCAAGTGATGCCAACACCTTTCCAAGTTCATCTCATTCAACGTGGCCCAGTCAGTCACAACGGTCTTATGGCTCCCTACACGTATCATGTCATTTTCTACCTTAGGAATTAGAGCTGGAAGGGACCTTCAAGGTCATCTAGTCCAACCCCCTCATTTTGCAGATAAGGAAACTGAGGCCCAGAATAAGTGCCAGTCTGTTTTCCTTCCTCTAGTCAGGACTCAATTCTTAACCCACTTCCTCTAAGGAGCCTTCCTTGGATGACCTTCCTCTGCTGTGATCACTCTCCTCTAGCCCGTCCCTGCAGGAATGACTGTACTTACTGTACTCGTATATTTATGCTTTGTGACTGTGCTCTAGTTATCTCACTTGTATGTGTTTTGTATTCCAAACTAGACCATAAGCTCCTCAGAGCCAATACTATACATTCTAGCACTGAATTCTAGAACTGAGGCAAGCATCGAAAACATGACTGGGTCAAGCACCAGGAAAGGTTCCTCCAATTCACTTTTACAGAAAAATTTTCTGGGAGGAGGGGATGTGGAGGGGAACCTTAGACTTAGAGATCCTGTTTGGTGGTGGGGAGACAGAGGCCAGGGCACCTCAGGTCTCCTTCTACTGAAGCCTGCCCCAGGGAGATCAGTGCTGGTAGAGGGAGCAGGGAGCAGGGCAGGACCAGGCTGGGGAGGAGCTCACCTACCTGGGGCTGTTGGAGAGGGCAGATACCATCCTGTAGCCTCCTATTTTAATGAGTTATTCTTGGTACTAGTAGATAGAGGACTGGCCTTGTAGTCAGGAAGTCCTTCCTTTAACTCACGTTGGCTGTGGGACCCTGGGCAAGTTATTTAACCTCCCTGTGCCCTTGACAAACAACTGGCTGAGCTGTAGAGAAGGTTCTGACCTGAATTAATAGAGGACAGTTCCTCTTCTAGGAGTTTCCTATACTACTGAAATCCCAAGTCCACTCTCTATCCCTAGACTTACTGCAGAAGGGAAACAAGTACTGTTTCCCTCTAAATTTGGGCCCACTGGCAAAGCCCTAGTTGCCTAGTCCTAGTTACAGTTCTGAAGCTCCCTGCAGGCAGGGACTGTCCTCTACTTCTTTTGTTTTCTCTCAGGAGCTCATTCAGTGTCCAGAGTAGTTGTTCAGTAAACACTTGTCAGAGGAATGGCTCCCAGCCACCCAGCTTTACCCACATTGCTCCTATAGTTCTGTTCCCCAGCTTCTGGGTTCTTTGTCCCTGCTAGTGCCCCTTACTTTCCTTACTTTCCCAACAATAAATTTCTTTTGTTCCAAGATAGGCAGCTATGTATGACCATATATAAGTCTTAGATCAGGGGCATCCAAGTTTTTCAGTAGTATACCATATGTTCAAAAATCTATTATGTGTATGCAGGTCACATTAATCTAAATGTGTAATTGCATTCAGCCAGTTCAAGCCTGCTAGCATGACCCCTGGTGCCAGTCAGTCACACAACAGAAGCACAAAGGGAGCTGGTATTGGCTACCTAGTTTATATGTGCTAGCTAATTAGGTTAAATAAAACGGGAGGTAAAAAGATCTCAGGTGGAACCCACCTTGGGCTCAGATGGGCTGCATCTGGCCCCTGAGCCACAAAGACAGCCAGTCTGGCTACTGCACAGATACACATTCTTTTGAATCCCAATGCTTCTTTGGATAGGTTTAGGCTCCTAAATTCCCAGAGTCGCCACAGCAAGTACACAGCAGCAGGGAACAGTTGTGAACACCCAAACTATCGAGGGGCCTGCATCGCTGCTTTACTTGGGTGACTCTGGGAAGGACATGGGAGAGCAGGAAAAAAACAAGGTAGATAAGAAAGGCTTGGCCATGCTCTTTAATCATCCTCCATCCCTGATCCAAGCCCCCCTGGCCTGAGTAATGGAGCAGGACCCCCATTCTACTTTTCACTCTTAGTTTCTTAAATACCTTCCTTCTCCTACTCTGGGTGCAGCTGTTTCTCTCCAGCGGGGCAGAGCTTGGGGTCCCTAGAGTAGTCAGAAGGGAAACAAGTTAGTTCTTCTCAGAGGACCCGGCAGATGGGTGTGCCAATCCTCTGACAGCCCCCAACCTGCGTCTCTCCTAGGTGAGCTAAGGTCCCTCAGGGAGGAGATCTCCATTCTGGAACACGAGAAAAACACTGAACTGAAGGACATAGAGCAGGAGCTGCAGATGGCCCAGGACGAGATCCAGAGTCTGCGGCAGGCAGCAGAGGATGCAGCGGCGGAGCATGAGGGCGACATAGCCACCCTGCAAGAGGACTTGTGCCGTATGCGCTCCGAGCTCAGCGGCATGGAGCGCATCCGCCAAGAGTACGAGATGGAGATCAACTCTTTGCGGAGTGAGATCCAGTCGAAGGACTCCGATCAGTCCGAGAACCTGGTCCTCTCCGACGTTAGCCTGCTGCAAGGTACACGGCAATTCTTTGGTACCCTGGGCCAGGGAGGTGGGGATGAGATGAGCAGAGCAAGGCAACCAGGGGTGGGGGTATGGGTGGGGGTGGGGCTCTGTTTAAGGCTGGGTGCAAGACTGTTGGGGAATGTCTAGGACTGCTGGTGAAAGTTTTCTGAATGCAGACCACTGATTTTAGGCTTCTAGGGGTGGTTATCTTTGGATAAAATACAAATGACAATGGCAACTAGGTTTAGAAATATAGGCGATCCAAGGTTCTCTCAGTTCAGAAAACGTCAACAAGACCTGCCAGGATAGAGGATATGAAGAACAGTAGTTGCCTGGTGGTTCAGTCTTGTCTGACTCTATGTGACCCCATGAACCTTGTCCATGAGGTTGTCTTGGCAAAGACACTGCTATGGTTTGTTATTTCAGTCTCTAGTGTGTCCTCATTTTACAGATGAGGCACTGAGACAGATACAGGTTAAGTGACTTGCCCAGGGTCACACAGCTAGTAAGTGTCTAAGGCCAGATTTGAACTTAGCTCTTCCTGACTCCAGGCCCAGTGCTCTACCCACTGCACCACCTAGCTGCCCCTAAGAACAGTGGTAGAAAGGGGCATGAGACCATGCAACGTGAACACCATGACAGAACTTTAATATCAAATTCAAGAATATGGGAGAAATCTTACCCTGTAGCCAGACAGTTAGCAATGATGCAAGGAGTGCAGAGCAGAGGTACCAACCAGGGTATAACTTTTCTGGAAAGCTTTGGGACAGTGACCTGTTTGGGCTGTGGCATAGAGCTTGCCTTGCTGTGAAATTGTTCCCTGGGGGTACTGTGTCTGTTTGCCCGGCAACGTTGTAGAGGGTCTCTAAACCTAATCCTGACATTCAGTCTAATGCTTCACCTCTTGGGCCTCAACAGCTCTCACCAAAGTAGAGAGAGGCTTCAAGTACATCTTATATTAGGTGGGAGGGGAAAGGGTTACCCTAGTAACTTCAGGGATGTCCCAAAGTCAGGAATTTTTTCCCCCAAAATTCACTAAGTCTCAGCTCTCGTGCTGTCTCCAATTGTCTGCTGGGACCTAGAGAGTAAGAGAGCTGCCTTTGTCCTGAGCACAGATTTCTTATCAGGACCTCAGGAAAGCACTGCAGTCTACCCTGCTTGCCATGGGGGCTAAAACAGACGTGAGCAAACCTTCACAGCAGTGAAAAGCCCTGACCGTCTCTAGACTGAAGGGTTATTTTAGTAGTCCAGAATGTTACTAAACGATTCTGACCCAAGATAAAGAAGGGAGCATCAGCACATTATGGTTGAATGCTACAGCAAGTATGAGGTTAGATCAAGGCAGCGTTTGATAAATACAAGCAAAGAGCGATCTTGTAATCTAATATTACAAGCCATATTATACTCTGACAAAATTCTTAATCATCTAAAAATATAATGGGCATAACTGTGTGTCTGTGGTAGTAGTAAACAACAGTAGTAAACAGTTAGATGTGTTCTAATGCATCTTCAGAAGCCAGCACATTGGCTAGTTCTTGAGATTCTGTGAGCTTCTAGAGGGTTAATCAAAAGTTAGCAGATTCTTTCAAAGGTTTCTGAGGTCTCATTTCACTCAGGGCTGCTTTTTAATGCTCGAGGGTTCCCTAGGGAGCCAACAAATGAAGAACCATAGAGGAAATCCCATGGTCCGTATCAGGGTAAAGGATGATGTCTGGACGGGTCCTGTTCATGTAGAGGTAGAAAGAGGGCAGCAGGGAGGGCAAAGAACAGCAGCTCAGCTCTGACTCAATCTTTGTCACCTCTACAATTTATCTTTACCCTGTTCCTTAATGAGAAGGGGAAAGGAATCCCACATGTTATCCCAGAGAGCTTTGAAGAGCATCAGCGACCAAAAGGAAAGGGAGATCTGTTTTCAGTATAGCCTTAGAATAATAAGATGTTGGAAGAAACCTTTGAAAGAATCAGCTGACATTGGATAAAACCTGTTGAAGCTCCTAGATTCTCAAGAGCTGGTCAGTATGCTGACTTCTGAAGGATGACGAGGGAGCGATAGCAGCACTGTCTTCCCAGGGTCTTGTCTTCCAAGGAACTCTGAGCTCTGACTTTCTGTCTTCCTTATATGACCCCGGGCATCAATGAAGCTGCTACGCTTCCATGAGTATTTTCTAGATGAGGAAAACAGAAGCTGGCTCTCAGTATCATTTGGCTTAGAATTCAATCTCTTTCTATTATGTTTGCTTTTCACAGAGGAATTGCAACAGTTACGGGACCGTTGCAACCTCTTGACTGAGGAATACCATGCCCTGAAGATGAGTAACAGCAGCCTGTGTGAGCAGCTAGAGGAGATGGAATCCTGGAAGCACTGCAGTGAGGACCAGGTGGAAAGCAGCAGGTAGCCTGGCCTCTCTGCAACCCTCTGTGCAGCTGCCCCAGGCTTACCTTCTAGGGCTTTCTAGAAAAAGATGGTAGGTGGTATTATAACCGAGTGGACAAGGGGAATATCTCCCCTGCTTCTAGAGGGTGGGCCAGCTCCAGGGTAGCCCAGCAGGTGTAGATACAGAGATGGAGATATGTCTGAACATCCAGCCCAGTGCGGTCCCAGCAGGTGTAGATACAGAGATGGAGATGGAGATGGAGATATGTCTGAGCAGCCAGCCCAGAGCGGTTCAGATCATCCCAAGTGCAGAGGACCCCTAACACCCTGAACCATTTGCATGTTTTGAATCCCATTCAGGATATCTCTAGGAATCTGATTTGATCTGTCCCTGAGGCATATGCAAAAGTAACTCAGGCTCAATCTCTATTTTTGTACATGGTGCCACAGTGACTTAGTCTGTCAACTAAGGGCTTTCAGATATGGGGATGAACTGGTCCTGAGCTAAGCCCTCCAGCTTATCTTAGGCCAGTGGTCTTAGGTCCCCCCAGAACCAAACCAGCCTTTAAAGATTGTGATGTATGAAACATTGTAGGAATCTAGCCTCTAGTCACTTAGCTGAGTTGTCTTGAGAATTTCATCACAACTGGGTCCCTTGTTGTGCCGCCTTGGATGATAATGCCAGGCCTAACCCTGTCCCAATGTGGCTTTGGGATTGTGGGTTACAGAAAAACAAAGGAGGCAGAACGATGGTTGAAACCACAGAAGAAGATGTCGACGGCTGAATCTCAGACTTCAGGAATGGACATGTTTGTGGATCTCACGTCCTGTGAGGAGGACGAAGAGGATGATGACGAAGAGGATGATGACGAAGAGTGTGAATGCCTTCGGCAACAGCTTCTAGTTGCTGAGGAGCAGGTGCAAAAGATGCAGAACAAGGTGGGCACCATGGAGGAAGGATGCTTCCCATCACTTCACTTTTCTTCTCTGATGGCATACGTGGAAACAGCTCATTAGAATTCCATCCAATTCTATTCAATGAACTTTTTAAAAAGCACCCACTCCATGAGAGGCACTGTCCTGGGTGCCAGGGCCACAAAGATGAAAAACCGCCCAATGCCTACTGTGAAGGCACTTCCAGTCTAGAATCTACATAGATACACAAGGGTGTTCGTTTGTACCTTTCATGCTTCTTTGATCAGATGACTTTCCTAGTAAAGGGGACACTGTACCTTCCCCGAGCTCCTTTTTTTATGTTCACAAGCTCACCCTTCCATCCCTCTTGCAGTGTAAGGACCTGCACACTGAACTCCTAGCATTACAGAAGGTGCATCGGGCCAGTGAGGATGAGGAGAAGTGCCTAAAGAGGGAGCTGAAGTTCTGCAAGGATGAGATGCATCGGCTTAAAAGCTGCCAGGATGCCCTTGTCAAAAGCCAGGTAACCCCTTCTCGGGGGAAGGCTGGTGAAGGAGGGAGTCCTGATGCCAGCCTAGATTCTGCTAACCTTTGACCTTTAGCCAGAGGCATAGCCTGTAGGGACCAATTTGGGGATCCATGCAATGCTGCATTCTGGAAGCTCTAATCACTTCTGGGTGCACGTATCAGAGGAGAGAATAAATTGAGACATATAATGGAAGTTCCTCAAGGTGTCTGCCTCTAAGCAACAGTATGGAGGGCCCTGCCATCTCTCATAGTAACTCTACTTGTCCATGTCCTCCCCACCACAGACCCAGGATCTGGTGAACAAACTGTGTGGGCTGCAGAAGAAGTACCAGGAGAGCCAGTGTGAGCAGGCAAGTCTCGTGAAGGCACGAAACCAGCTGCAGAAAGAGCTTCTTGAAAGCAAGGAAGAGCAACGTAAGCTCATGATTAAGAGGGCATCGCTTGCAGAAAGCCACAAAAAAGAGAAGGTAACAGCAGCAGTGAGAGCTGAAGGAACAGGTTGGCATCTCCTGGCTAAGGTGTTGGGGGAGGCAGCAAACAGAAAAGAGGAGGCAGGATCAGCGGGAGGTCTTTGGCAGAACTTCTGGGGGAAGGAAAGGTGGGACGTCTACCTAGAGGGAGAGCAGGACCAGATCCTTAGGGGCTGCTTCCAGCTAACCACCAACTACCACCTCTCCGTGGATCTGTGCAACACTGCCTGGGTCCCTGGAGGGCTACAGCCTCATCTAGGTATCTGCATCAGAGAAGACACCAAGCCAGTTAAGTCAAGGGCAAGACCGGTAAGGGAGGAGAGGCTTCCAGACTGTCAGCGTTCAAGTGAACTAGGCAGAGAGGTAAACAGGTAAGGCCCTCTGAGGGCAACTGCACTGCCCAAAGTCCTCTTCCACCATAGGAGCTGAAGGCCAAGCTTGAAGAATTACAGAATCGGTACTGCAAAAGCCAGGATGAAAACTGTCAGCTCTTGGATGCACAGGAGAAGTTACAGGAGGAGCTGGATCTTTGTGGGATGGAGGTAGAACGCCTCAGGGCTGTGGAGGCTGCCAACCAAGAGCTTCTTGAGAAGGTAAAGGCAATCTGAGGTGAGGGAGCACATGGCAAGAGAGAGCCTTCTCCTTGGGATTCTGTGGGGGGGTGGGGGGAGCCAGAGCCCCTTGGAATAATGCACAAAAGGAGGAGAAGGGCAGTCTTGGAGATTCAGGGCTGCCCTCAACTTTACATCTGAGCAGCCTGCACACTTCATGCAATACAGCACGCTGGGAATTGGTCCACTCTTGGTGGCCCCTGCTAGAACAAAAGATGAGGCTGGAGAGGTCAGGAGAATCTCTATTTGATCACAGGACCAGAGAAAAGATGTGGGTGAGAATAGGGTGAAAGGCAGGCTGTTCCTAGGATAACTTCAGCAACTGCCTCCTACATCATAGAATGTGGACCTGGAGGCCAGGCTGCAGGAGCTGGAGCCGCTCTACCAGGCCAGTCAGGAGGAGCAGGCCCGGCAACTCCAGATCCAGGAGGAGCTGCAGGAGGCTCTCGACATCTGCCAGCAGAACATGGAGATGCTCAATAGCATGCAGGCCCAGGAGAAGGACGAGTCCGTCAAGGTAAGTGCCCAAAGAGGAGGCAGGAGGCTCTCCCAGGGGCTGGCTGCAGTAAGGAGCGTCCCAGAGACGCACAGCGGGGAAGAGAAACAGGCGAGCCTGCTGACCCTGCCCCGGCTGTGATACCAAGGGACACCTCCTGAAATCTTGAAAAATCGGGACCTGTACCATAAGCATAAGAATACCCCATTTATGTAGCACTTTCAGGTCTGCCAAGCACTTTACGTAGACCATCTCATTTCATCCTCACCTCACGACCTGTGAGAGAGGTGCTGTTATTAGCCTCTGTTAAAGATGAGAAAACTGAGACAGGCAGAGATTAAGGGACTTAGCCAGGATCACAGAGTTAGTGTCAGAGGCCAGATTGGAACTCAGGTCTTCCTGACTCCTCTCTGTCCACCAGCTGCCAGACAGAAACTGAGACAGGCATGGTTAGCATAGATCTAGTGCTTTAGGATTTACAAAGCACAACCCTGAAAGGTGGTCGCTATTATTATCCCCACTTTTTAGATAAGAAAACTGAAGCAGACGGAGGTTAAATGACATGCCTAGGGTCATGGCTAGTAGGTGTTGGAGGCAGGATTAGAACTCAGGTCTTCTGGACTCCAAATCATCACTCTGTCCACCAGATACCAGACAGAAATTTAGACAGGCATTAATAATAGTTAGCGCCAAACCCTACACTTCCCTCACTATGCCACCTAGCTGCCAGGGTTTTCACAGCAAATTAGTGGAATTATTATAGCCATAATCTATTGATCCAAGGAGAAGCATATACAGACATGTTCTGTGTGCATACTTTATTACCCCCAGTAGATAGACAGGGCAAGTCACTGGACTCCTGTCTGCCTCAGCTTCCTCATCTGTAAAACTGGGATTTCTAGTGGCACCAACCTCACTTCTTTTTTTCTTTTTTTTTGAGGCAATTGGGGCTAAGTGACTTGCCCAGGGTCACATAGCTCTTAAGTGTCAAGCGTGTGGTCTGAGAGCGGAATTGAACTCTGGTCCTTCTGACTCCAGGGCCGGTGCTCTATCCACTGTGCCACCTAGCTGCC